CAAAAAGTAAAATTTCTTATAATTCAGTCATATCTACAGTAAAATTAAACAAATAGTGAGTGCCCACCAAGAAAAAGAACATGATTTCATCGAAAAAGCTTCCATCTTTACAAAATCTCCAATCAATACCCCACCAAAAGTGTTGGTAAACAAATATTCAACCACAAAGATCAATGAATCCCACAATCCATCTCTCCATAAAAACACAGATTCCTACATGCTTGTGATCAAATTCAATACCAAATCACCAAAAAAACCCAATGAGAGAAATATCACAAGAAGAAGAAAATGCATATATACACACACACATGTATATATATGTCTATAAATTTGACTAACTCTTCCATGGGGAGGGAATCCAGTAAAAGGTTTGAGCCTTAAGTTGCTTCCTCTCTGTTGGAAAATTCCTCTGCAACTGAGTGGCCTCTGTGCTTGTATAGAAACCTCCATGGCAGAAGAATGTTTGTTTGTTTGTTCTGCTGCTTCCTTCTTGCTCCTTCAATCACACACAAAATATGATCCCCACTGATTAGCAACCCATCTCGAAGGCTCGAAGACTGAGCTTATCAGTTAATTAATTAATTAATTAAATATCAAAGATCTTGATTTACATTTTTATATCAATATTCTAAAAGACGTTAGGCGGTGAGTTGGGACTAGGTCCTAGGTGGCTAGACGGGTTTAGGCGGAAGCCCAAACAGACTAAACAGATTTAAGTAAATTTATTATATATATTTAGTATTTTGGTGAATTTTATGGTACGAAATAAAACTTCAAATTTTACAAGTCCATAGTAATTTACAAAATATTTTTTAGAGATCATATTAATTTAGGGAATCTTAACGAAATATTCTTGGTACTGTTTACTTTTAAGGTTAAAGACATTTTTAGCCTAAAAGGTCACTCCTGATAGTATTTACTTATACTTTTATTTTGTCATTTTAGTTAAAAATTAAAATTTTCAAACTCTTTTAGTTACTTTTCTTATTAATTTATGTTGAATTTAACGAAAAATAAAGGTGTTAAATATGTGGATGTAAAAAGCAAAGTGGCACACTAGGACGGATAAAGATGAGACTCTACACCAATGCTTAATGGTAAAGACATTTTAAGCCCAACACCCCATCATTTTTTATGAGAAAAATCAATATGTTAGGCACTGACGGCCTATGGCTTTTTACAAAAAGCAAGCAACTTGATTACTTAGGAAGACCACTTTAAGGTTATGCAGAGAAGACCGCCTTAAGTTGCTAAAAACTTAATTACTAGTGCTACAATTTATTGTTTATTTTTATTTGTAAGTGAGATATTTTAAGTTCGAATCATGTAAATGATGAACTCATAACTAATTTACTTTTCTCATCAATTAGTGTAATATGTCAATGAAATAAGAAAATATACATAGAACTCACATTCTCTAGAGAACTATGATTGAATGTAATAATGGTTTTAACTATGAATTTTCTCTAGATGACCTAACAAACATGGGAAAAGAAGATGATACGATAAACACTTGCATGTCTTTCGTGTGTAGCAAGAGAGAGAAAGAAATAGGGCACTTCGTCCCGGACAAGAGAGTTTCTCTCAACATACAGAAATGCATTTTTACACATGCACATCAAAATCAATTACCATAAAAACATCAAATATCATGCATCACTTATTTTTCACATCTTAATAACAAAATTAAAATCACAAGAAATTATTTATACATGCAATCATGATTCATTAACAAATGTGTATAACAATAAGACGTGATGGGGAGAAAGAAGAAATTAAAGATTAGAGATATGAATATTACCTTAATTAATTAGAGAGAAAAAAAATGAAATTAGAGATGATGATGATCTGGTTTTGGAGAGAAGAGAGAGGGAAGAAGCCAAGAAGGAATGGCCAAATGGGAATTGAAACGGAACAATGGGGGAGGTGATGAGAAGTGCTTTTTCTTTGGTTGATATTCAATTCAAAGATTAAAAGTGGCTTTTTTCCATTGGGCTTTTTATAAAAGCTGTAATTAATCAATGGTCTAATCTCAAGTGGGCTTAGTTTGTGAGGGACCCCTAATTCGAGTTTGAATTCTCACAAATACATTATTTGAAGTCACCGCTTTGCTTGGATGTACTATTTAACTTGGAACCAAAGATGTTTACTTATATTCGAAGAGTAATGCTAATGAGACTAAATTTATAGACTAAATTTGCAAACTAAATGATGTATCACCAATAAAAATGAGTACATCTATCAACGTTTAAATAACAAACCAATTATCAATTTAAATATCATTTAGTTTTCAAATTCAGCCTTCTTAATATTCCTCATACTCGAAACCTATTTTCCTTAAACGTCAAAAGACCGTTGCTTCCCGCCACAAAAATCATGCAGGTGCCATAAACAACACACAAATCCTCCTCCACACCAAACTCTCAATCGATCCCAAATTTCTCAAAGTCCCAGAACCTGAAGCAAAATCTTGAAGGAACAACGACGACGGACGAGGGCAAAAAGACATGAAGACTTTCAGAAATACCCAAAACCACGAACACATCGCCAAACTTCCCAAAGACATCTTTGTGACAACCTTGCCAAACTTCTCAAAGACTTTCAGAAGTACCTAAAACTGAGAGCTCTCTCTACCAACTTCTTCTATCTTCGAGTTCTATAGCCACCTCCTCTTTCGGTTCATCTTCGCAGAATCGAACCTATGTTCTAAACCAAAGTGATCACGGGGATGGGGTTCCTCATTTTCCTCTCCCAACTGTTAACGGGTATTTGCAGCGAAAGAAATTCATCGCATTGAGCCCAGTTTTTCTCGGATAACTAATGAGCGCTTGTAGTCAGAGTATTGTAACATGCCTGTCAATCTTCATGGTTTTAGTAGACAGAGCTAGTGATTAAGTTCGTAATTGTTTATCAGATTTTCAAGAGAGTTGATAAGTTGTCGAGACGAACTCCCTATACCCATTCGATCAGTCTTACTGGAAAAGAAAGACGGAATTAGTTTCGATTATGATAGGTTCAGTTCCAATTCACTTCAACATAACAAAAAAAAAAAGAACCAAGGGCGCAACGCAATTGGTAATTCAAGAGCAAGAGAAGATCTACGAAGAACGAGATCCTTAATTACATGATTATCAGTATTGTTAACTATGATGGAAAAAAAAATGACATACAATATATATATATATATATATATATATGTGGAATGCTCTTTTTTGTTCCAAAATACATTGCCCTCTCATTTGTGCGCACAAAGTTTATTGGCAGCTGAGAATTACAATGGAAGTGTCAAGTCTGCAAATTTAAGACAATTGGCACAACTCAATGTGGAGGAGAAAACAAGTACCATGTTGTTCTTTAATCGTCTAGACCAAAGCGTTGGCACCCGAAACAATCTCCAAAATCTCTCCGGTGATTTTTGCCTGGCGCTGCCGATTGTAGGCCTGCGACAAGGTTTTCTTCAACTCAACAGCGTTATCGGTTGCATTGCTCATAGCGGTCATCCTAGCAGCAAGCTCACTGGCTAGAGACTCCTGCAATGCCCTCAAAATCTGACTGTTGAGGTACAAGGGCAGCAAAGCGTCGAGAATCTGAACCGGATCCTGCTCAAACTGCAAAACCGGAGTGAAATCCACGGTCTGCGTCTTGATGACATCTCTCTCCACTGTCAATTTCCCTTCCTTTGTTGTCAGCCTGAAGAACTCATCATCCACGGCGTCCACACATACGCCATTGATGTCGCAAATCTCTCCTTTTGGCGACAGTGGAAGCAGGGTGTGAATCACAGGGTCGGATTTAACCAGCGACACGAATTTCGTGTACAAAAGCTCGACTTTGTCAACCTCTTCGCTCACGAAAAGGGAGAAAACATCATCTGCGATGGCCTGCGCTTCTTTGGCGGTTGGGAGATTGGTTCCCTCGAGAAACTTATCAACCGGAATGTAAGGCCGGCGGAGGAAATACGAGTTACCCTTTTTACCGACGCTGATGATGGTGAATTCGAGACCAAGAGCCTTCAATTCCGCTATTCTTCTCTCGGCTTTTTTGATGATCATATTGTTGAACCCTCCGCAAAGACCGCGATCCCCGGTTATGACAACGAGAGCAACTTTCTTGACTGGCCTAACTTTGGTCAGAGGAGCATCAATGTCTTCCACTTGGAGCTGCTCATTGATGTTGTAAAGAACTTCAACTAGGGTTTCCGAGAAGGGTCTACCATTAACGACAGCCTCTTGAGCTCGGCGGACTTTGGCGGCTGCCACAAGCTTCATAGCCTCAGTGATCTTCTGCGTGTTCTTCACTGATGAAATACGCTCTCGAAGCTCGCGTAGGCCGCATTGAACCGGTGTCACAGATGACGATCGCGAGGCGGGAAGGGAGTTTTGGGAGGGAAGCTGAAGAGGGGCGATGAAGGAGCGGCAGGAGAGGGCGGAGGCGTCGGAAAGGGAGGGTTTTGAGGACACCCACATTGTCAAATTCGAGCAAGACATGGCGGTTCTAAATTGTAACGGAGTTTTCGGAGCTCGGAAATGGAGGAACCGGGAAGAAGAAAGAGGGTCTGCAATGTGAGGCTTGGTTTGTGAAGAAGTCTTATCTTCATGTGTGTAGGACTTCAGGTGAATGGAGGCAAAGAGCGGGGGAATGAGTGGAGGGAGAGGGGAGCTTTTGGATCAGGTTTTGGGATAAGGATTTTGACCGTTGGTGATCATTTGGGGAGGACATTTGATTCTCAATTTATCGTAGGTGGGTCCTATCCTACGTGGTATGATCTGGGTGGGCGCTGGATCAATGGATTTCAGACACTTGAGAGACTCCTATATCTCTTGGTACCTGAAGGGGATATGCGGCTAAGCGGGTGAGGATTCCCTCTGGATTAAAACTTTGGTTCCAAAGATAAATTTAGTGAATGCCACGATGACGGTATTTTAAACCAATTACATATTGTCAAGTGTTTTAAACTTTCTCACGTTGCAATGCGTGATTGGCATAGAAAACGGCCAGAGTGTCATCAGTATAGGAGAGAATATCAATTGACCCAATGACACAAGTTGTCTAGTTTGTACAAATAACATCAAAATTTGGTGCCTTGGAAAGATAACTACATACCTTGACATGAACAAAATGTTGGACGCCACTTGGCTGAAATGGGTTGGCGTCCAAGAAGTAAGAGATCATTTATACACTACTCAAACTAGAAACTAGGGTTAGTAAGGGTGCATAAACATTTGAAAATCTTTTATGTTAGCCATCACTGCCGGAGTTTTCTACAGTCAATCCTATGTTCAAACATGTACTGGCTCTCGATACACGCTTCTTGGGTTTCCTCGCAGTTGGATTTGATGGAGGACCCAGGCTCAGTTGGTGCGTCATGTCCACAGCTGGTTTCGGTGTTGCACCTTCCCTTCTGCTTAGTTTCGCTTTCTTACAAGAGCGAAGAGGACGAGATGACTGCGAGTCATTGGCAGAAAAACTGCTGTCCATTGTACCTTCATCGTACTTAGACATCATGTGCAGAGGGCGATCTGGTGCACACGAATCCAAACTTAGCCAGGAAGAATTACTGGCATCGTCCAAGTTAGGAATTCTGTGAATATTGTCCTGAGGATGATAAGTGGCATTTGGCTCACACTCCTTGCCATCAGGATCTGTTGTTGCAGGTCTTTTCATCGCATACGTTGGAACATCCTATAAACAAGAAAACACCAAGTCAGAAAAAGGAACAACTGAAAACTCCCCTCCCGAACAAGATTGGCAGGAACCCGTGACAATAATAGATGGATGTCGTGAGTAGAATTTATAACTTGGGACAAAAGTAAGAATATGTGGTTCCACAGGGCCACAGCCAATAGAATCTTGAAGCCGGCTGGAAAAAGAGAAAAGAAAAGTCACCTTATTTTGCATCTCAGCAACTTCTTCACATGCCGATCCCCCCTCTCCTTCAGAATCAGTCATCTCCTCACACTCAAACTCAACATTTTCTTCGTTTCTTCATTTCTTCATCAGAGTCGCTCAACTCTTCCTGTTCCATCTGGATATCATGTTGAGACTGGTCACCTATATCATCTATACTGTACCTGCTGATATCATTACTTGGTATAACAAGTTCGCTGCCACTTGCTGAAGAATTTTCAGCATGCCGAAGCAATGGACGATTAGCACATTGAGTTATCATCTCTGGCGCCATTATTCTTGATCTAATGGAATTATTTGCAGCGACATCTCTCCTTTTTGAAGGTTTTTCCTTTTTGGATGTAGAACTTAGGTGGATCTCCAAGTCCAGTTCATTAGCTTTCTCATTAGTGGCCATAGACTGTGAATCAGCATTGACTGGCAAATGAAGTCGACCAGTAGCGGAAGGATATTGATCTTGAGAATGGTTTCCTCCTGAACCGACAGACAGGGGTGCGGTTGAGCATGTTGTTACTGTGGCACTACTTACACAGTCAGTTCTTTGCATAAGTGGATGGAAATCAATGGCACGAGATGTTGAGTTGGGTGTCTTCAGTGACTTGTCAAAACCATCAACATGGTTTCCTTGATGAGGATTATGAAAAAGGCTTAAATGTAGCTGAGGCTGATTTGCTGAAAGAAAACTGAAAGTACTGGAATTGCTGTTTCTGCAGTTCAACGGGAAATAGGGCAGACGTCCATCTTCAGGGGCCTGGAACAGCAGAGGATGCATCTGAAGATCAGAATCAACATCTCTTCCTTCCTCTACACATTTATCCTTGATAATTCTAGAATCTTCTGGACACAACGTTGAAACAGTGTCTTTCAGAGAACTACTTTTAGCATGTGAAGCTGTTATGGCATCAGAGGTCCCAAACCTTCCAGCTTTAGAAGGTTGAGAAAAAAGATTGTGTGTTGCAGCAGCACCACTACCACCTCCAGAAGCAGAAACTGTGGAAGATGCCCCACGTAAAGAACCTCTGAAGGCAGATTGTGAGACTACACGAACAGACGGTGGAAGATTCACAGGAGGCAATTGCGGTGCTAACTTAACTAGTTGTGCACCATTGGTTCTACGAGCTCGATACGGCCGATAATAGAGTTGAGAAACAGAATGATTCGCTGGTGTGGTACCGGATGCAAAATGTCTAACACCAGTGATTTGAGATTGACCATGCGGATACTGTGACACGGTCTGGGTTCGAGGAGCTTCCTTCTGCCCAAAAACATTTACCCATTCATGGATAGCACCTTGTGATAGGGTACCACTATGAGGGTTTCTTTCTTCACAGGAAGTACCCGGTCTCCAATCTGCTAAAAAGGCCTCATGAACATAAGTTTCACCTGCATTATTGTCAGTCAAACCATCTGCGCTGTTCTCTCCACCAGACTTTTCAGCTTGGCAGTCCTGCAGCCAATACCAAACTCTAAATAAAATCACCATCATTTTAATGGGCTTTCAATCATCTATACTCCAGGCTCAGCTAGCCAATGGGTGTGTGCAAAGAAAAGTTCCATATGAATCATTTGCAATATTCTGAAAAGTTAGTAAAATTGGACTTCGGCACAGACTCCCCACACATCCTAAACTGGGAAACTTAAAGGCTCTATAATGCACTTTAATGTAACTTTTAGAAACAAATCGTACCGAACCACTTATTTCTTTTACAATCGCAGGCCGAACCTAAAAACCTTATATTTCTTACATTTTGTAATTACTTTTTATTCCTAAAGTTCAGAAAATTCTACATAACCTGCAACTCTTAAGCCTCACTACATACACCTAGCAATGATTAAGTCTAGAACGGAAGCTAATTTGAAGCCTAGCCGCGCCCTTTTCTCTAATATGAGCAGTTCATTTAGCCAACAATGTTTTATTTTTATACCCATCATAAAATAATTTCTCAAAACTACAAACTCAAAGCAAATAGAATAGCCAATGTTCTAAGTTCAAATGAAATCATACCTCTTTCTCGGATGAATTTTGCCAACTTGTCAAATCTGCATTCTTTTCCTTCCTTCTTTTTGATTCATATAATCGTCTCTTCTCCTTTTTTGACTCGTCAACTTTATATGACTTCTGAGTCCCAATAGCAATACGCCACTGCCGAGGCAACAAGGATGGATCTCTATGTGGGACAATGAATTCCATATGGACAACCAATCATATTTATAAGCCTTAAGTCCCTGAGTATGGAGTCACAATAAACAATATCTCTAAATGAGAATCTGACAGATAAAAATGAATGCTTAGTTGTCAATGATTCAATATTTTATCCAACAACCGATAATTGGAACCTAATTTGAGAAAAAAGTCAACTTTTGTATATACATGTCTATACAAACACACTCACGACAGTAATGCTCTCAAAGCTTTTATACACCAACATAAATGTACGACTCAAGAAATTACCTCCTGAATACATGCTATCTCTTCCGCAGTCAAAGGTGAGTTTTTCATCCTCCTTACTGCCTGCATGAAGAAATAGACAGCGATATGAATTACTGATAAAAGACACAGGGTTACAAATTTACAACAGCATTATGATCTAAAATTCAACAATTAAAATCCCCAAACCATAACTTCCTTTCGACCATTAAAACATGAATAGATGTTTGATCAAGCATTTGACTTGTCATGCCTAACAATTAATTGAACTCTAAAAGACGACTACAGACAGGAAATTCCTTTCTACCAATTTATCTTGTCATCTCATTCCACCAACAAAACACGTGTTTCAAAGTAATACTAATAAATAAATAATAACATTTAATCATAAGTTCTTCATACCTTTATGGGATTTTCTGGTGCTTTTGATGAGCAGCGGTTTTTCTGCCTAACAAAAATCTGTAAAACAAACATTAGCAAGCTGACATTCTGGCTCAAGCATAAATTACTCAAAAATTCTGTGGTTGTTACCTAGTAGTGGGCTTTTATTGAATTTTTTTCCTATGCTAGTAATGATGATTTGACTAGAATGACCTATGTATTAAAACATGTTGTCTCCTGATAAGCAGAGGGTGCACAACGGAAAGCCTTCGCAAAAAAGACATAATCAGATAATTTGCTGTTCACAATACATACTCTAGAAAAAGATTACCTGGTGCTTAGTTTTGCAAGGAAGAAAGCGTTGTTGAATTGCCTTCCAATCCGTATTATGTTCCATCATCCCCAATGCTAATAATCTGTATTGCAGTTCCAATAATAAACACATGAACCCATAAACTATAATAAAGGAATACTATAGATTGATATTAATCACAATCTCCAAAGTCTGACAACAAAAACAAATCAGGATAAGCCACCAACTCAACAATAAAGAAGAAAGTGTGCAACTCACTCATCTTCTGCATCAGTGAAAAGTATCCGGTTTGCGACTGCTCCTGTGGGTGGTTTATAGGGAAATAATGCTGGATTGAACAAAGGAAAAAACCTCTGGGCTAACTTTGATATGTCCTTTGGAACTAAAGCAAGTGATTGCTTCTTGGTGCTTTCAACAATGGTAGCAGCCAGTGACTTCTTGGGTGGTCGTTGACTAGATGAAGATGGAGCCACATTGGAAGCTGAGGAACCAGTTCCACTTACAGATTCGCAATTGGCCAGACCACCTAATTGAAAGCTAGAAAAGGGAAACAAAGGCTCCTTTTCAAGGCGAGTATCGGAACTAGTTTCCACGTAACACCGTCGATTTTCCTGAACAGCTGTGAAAATAATTCCAAATCAATGGCAGATAAATAAAGGGCAAAATTATTGATACAGATACGTAAGCAAAAGCATGAAAAACACTTGTGACATTATTCATGGTATACCTGTATTGACTTCATCCATGTATCTTCCAACTAAACTAAGTGTACCTACATCCAAGACAGATAGCACAGGACCACTTACAGAGGGCACCCAGAAAGAACCCCCAATATTCTGGGAAATGCCCACCTGCCCATTAGGAACACCTTCACGTCTACCATTGGAAGGAGAAATATTTGGGGAAACTGCCATATGATTATTCAAGGAACAGTCTCTACGTGCATCAAATGTGAGGGATGATGCTAAGGACCTTTGTGTTGTGTAGGAATTAGGGAATTCAGTTGGTACTGATGGGAAAAAGCAAACAGTAGGATACGGTACATTTTTCCATGTCAGTACTTCGTCACGCTTCTGGAGCATCTCAGAGATCAATTTTTTAACCTGGGAGGCAATATGTTGCCGAGAGTAATCAAGGGCACATAGAGAAAATACTTGAATAAGTAGCTGCACATGTTCATGGATCAAGCAGTGCAACTGGCCAATCTGGTGGGCAGTGAATCCATTTATAGAACGTTCTGATACTGTGGAAGACGAACAGCTTGAAGCTGTTCCGCGCATTAAAGTTCTGCCGGCCTGATGAGAGAAACAGGACATTGGTCCCTTTGGCAAAACTGGTAGAAGGGGGCGCAATGGCCTTTTTGTCTGTCCTAAATTCTTCTTCTTACACTGGGCAGGTTCTTTTTGACACTTATTCTGCCTAGTCTTTGGTCGTCTTCCAGCTTCCCCATTCTCATCTACACTTTTGTCCCTAGAATTCTCATCCCCGTCACTCTCAAGTAACTCTTCAAGTTCTATCTCAAAGTCTGCATCATTATCCTCATCTTCGTCATCAGCATTTTCATTTTCTTTAGTTGACTGCTCGTCACCTTCACCCTGTAAAACAGCAGTGAGGAATTTCCTGTATTCTTCTTCATCGTTAACATTTTGGAGGTCGTCCTCATCATCTGTTTCTTGAAGAAAAGTCTCAAGTTCATCAAGTGTGAAACTTGCTAATGAATAGCGGGCCCTGGTGCGTTTACAGATAGCATCTTCATCCTCATCATCTAAGTCCACAGTAAGCTTTGGGACGTCTTCTGTGTTACTCAACTCTCCTACTATAGCATCATTAGCATCAGTTTCCCTGCTTGAGACTTCATCCTTTTCTTGAACAGCTTCACTGTTAGAATTTCTGGCAGTCTTTTCAAACTCATTTGCAGATGCACCGTCAGGAGAAACAGTAGTTTGCATCACAGTTTCTTCCTCCCCATGCTCTGGGTCCCCGACAGAACACTTTTGTGCCTCACAAGCCACGATCAACGAATTAATCCTGGCAGTTTCAACAGTGTTTCTGCTGCTGTCAACAACTTCACCATCTAAACCTTCTACATCAGAGCTCAGACTAGAGGAAGCTTCTGGCGAAAGAGTTCCTTTTAAAAAAGGATTGAAATCTACATCTTCTTCTTCGTCCTCATCTTCACCCTCATCCTCCTCAAGTCTCAATACACTCTCATGCTGCTCACTCAAGCTCTCAGTAGCAGGAGAAGGCTTTTCGCGAGGAGATGAAGACATTTTGGACAAACAATATCCAATGCAGCTGACCCTTCGAGTTCTAATCAAATCTAGAAGTCATAACAGGCCCGAAAATCTCCGTGACGACAAGTCAAAACACCTTTGCCACCATAACCATGCCAGAGAGTGGAAATAGTTCAAATTTTAATATAAATTAAATTAAAAAAATCACAATTTTACATTCATTGACTCTCCAATCAAATTACTTAGCTCAGTGCTACAGCTACTCATGAATTCTTCAACATTTAAAATATAAAAAAACACTCAAAATTCAAAGAAAACAAGCAAACAAATACGATATCATGTGGATACAAAGCAAAGCGCTCACCTTTGAAAGGAAAAAGAAAAAAAATCAGATGGAAGTGTTGCGGCGGCAATAATTCGACTTCTGAATGCGAAAGCTACGAAGATTGCAATTGGGAAGGAGAAGAAGAAGGCGCCAGAACCCAATGCAGCTTGAGATTTTGGGATCAAAATCCGAAATCGACTGCAATTTATTCAATCTAATTTCGCTCCCTCCCAAAAACCCTAAGCCCCAAATTGTCAAAAACGACGATTGAATGCGAAAGTTTCGCCTCCTGAAACGTCCAATGATTGACCCGCGGTCTGCGTTGCCCACGGCCCCCTGGAACGTACGAAACGTGGCGTTTCGGATATTTGCGGGTTTTCCTTTTTGCGTCTGGCGAGATTGGCAAATTAGAGGGGCTAATAAGAATAGCGCGGAGCCTGTAATGTTTTTTACCAAAAATAGTATGCATATCATTATTTTATTTAGTTTTAGGTTTAAAGTTATTTGGAAATGTATAATGCACACCTATTAATGTCTCATTTGTGAAAGTAATTAACACGTTCCAAGACTGCTTCCATATGAAGGCTTAACAAAGAAACACACTAACAATGTTTGATATCATTGCATTCCGTCAAAATATTTGTCCAAGAATGATGATGTTTTGTTATTCACTGAGATCACCATTTCATTTACTCGTCTTTCAAACATTTTATCATGTATGAAGCCAATTCTAATCTTTAAAAGGACAACACCCAATGTATCCATGGACATTCATCGAAGTTCGGAGGGTCAGCAGCCAAGGTATCCATAAAAAAAAAAAATTAACAATAGGAAGTTTTAACGAAAAGCTCATGATACTGTTTATTTTAATGAAAAATCACATTTTTACACTAAAAAGTCAATCATAGTACTATTCACTTTACCTTTTATTTTGTCTTTATCGTTAAAACTCAAAGTTTTCAAACTCTTTTCATTAGTTTTCCTTTAACAATACTAATGGAATCCGCGAAATGCTAAACCAACACGATAGAAGAGATAGAGAATGATTACGGCTTCAACGAAGCTAAGAAACTTGTAAGTCACGAGTAGTGCTAGTATTGTAATGAGTGCTCGTGTCAAGCCACCGGGCATAAGAGCAAATGGTGAGTCATAAGTAGTCTTCGTTGTCTTCTTCATTGTGTTTGGGTCTCACAAACCGTTGTAAAAATACGACTTTGTTGTATGTCTATGTGAATAATTGTAATATATATTAGGAATTTTTATTTAGACCCAGTTATCTTATCTCTACACCCAACTAACAAATTTTATCTATCAAACCTCCAAGTTTACCCTTAAGTGGGCGATATGTAGAGGTTAGAGCTTGAAATAAGAATAAGAATAAGAAAATAAAATAAAATAAACATTGGTGTTTTTATCTTTACACCCCTTAACTCCAAAACTGGCATACCAGTGCACTCCTCCATTATTTCCAACAAAAGCCACCCAAATAACAGCAGAATATTCTCTCGAATTCATCAACGAGTCAGCTTGCTAGAAACCCTTAGCAGCCCTCATTTATAATTTCAGTGTAGGTTTTCGGTTGACATGTTTGCTTATTTGAACAATTATCTGAGGAGTTGGTTATTTGCATAAATTATCAAAACTAACAAGTCAGCTTGCTATAAACCCTTATTGCTATCTCTTCTAAATAGACACTGACATGGAAGCTTTTTTCTCATATTGCAGAAATTTGTTTCATGTCCAACGAATTGGTAAGAAGTTTTTTCCGCTTAAATTATAAATGAGGGCCGCTAATGGTTTCATGCAACATAGGTTTCTAGCAAGCTTACTTGTGATGAACTTAGGAGCATATTTTGTTGTCATTCGGGTGTGTTTTGCGGGAAATAATGGGAGAGTGTAGATGTGTGCCATTTTTTTGAGTTATTGGCTGTAGAGATAAAAACACCAATGTTTGTTTTCTTATTCTTATTTATTTAAGGGCAAACTTGAAAGTTTAATAGAGAAATTTTTTTTAGTTAGGTGTAAAGATAGGATAGTTGAGTCAAAATAAAATTTCTATATATATGGGTGTATCGAACCCATAATGGGAAGAATCTTATCCTAATTATAATAGGAATTTACTAGGGGTGTATTCAATTGGGATTTTGAGGGATTTTAATTTTTTTAATGAATCTAGAGGTATTCAATTGGAATTTTAAGTGATTATCTAAAATTCAATATGTATTCAATCATGATTTTAAGATAGTTTATTAAAATTCTTAAAATCCGGATGTATTCAATTAGAATTTTAAAAAAGTTTATAACATTGCAGGTGTATTCAATTAGAATTAGAATTTAAAGAATTTGGAAAAGTTGAGGAATTAGAGGAACTGGAGAGATTTTGAAGTATATTTTAAACATCTACAAATCTCACTCTCTCCCATGAGATTTCGAGGAAATTAAATTAAAATTTTACAAAGAATCTCTACAAATTAGTTAAGCTCCATAAAAATTCATTAAAATCTCTTAAATTTCCAATTGAATACACCCCTACATTCCTAATAAGAAAACGAACTTTGGGCAACGTCTGGTATGCGAAAAAGAGAAACAAAAAATAATATTACCCAGACAGGCCTGACCGGACTTGTAAGTTAGGATTTGGTCCGGCCCAGTCTTGATTTTAACGGGCCACGTAGAGCCCAAGAATTAAACAATTAATATTCCCAAACGACCCCTCCCTCCTTGCTCCCAAAACTGCTCTTCTTCTGATTCAGAAGCTGGGCCGAGACTTTTGGAGGGTTTTACAGAAGCTGCAAAGGAGATGGAGTTCGAGAAACGAAAGGCGGCGACGCTAGCGTCACTGCGGTCGGAGGAGACAGACAAATCACCGAAGGGCACGGTGGACGCCCCGATCATACCCCTCCTCGACGCCATCAACAGCCACCCCAATTATTTCACCACCAGCTCCTGCTCCGGCCGTATCTCTATCCTCTCCCAGCCCACGCACGTGACAAATCAGCCCAAGACCAAGAAGAAAGCTCTAGGTGGCACGTGGATCTTCATCTCCCACGACCCGGCGGATGCCGACTCTATCCTCGGCCTCCTCTTCCGCCCCGACCCGAATGACCAGAACGACGCACAGGACCAAAACGACCTCGTTTTCAGATTCGAGCCGCTTATTGTGGCGGTGGAGTGTAGGGACGTGGCGTCGGCGCAGTCGTTGGTTTCGAAGGCGATTGCTTGCGGGTTCAGAGAGTCCGGCATTACGAATTCGAACCGGCGCGTGATTATCGCGATTCGGTGCTCAATTCGGATGGAGGTGCCGCTGGGGAGCAGCCGGGAGGTGATGGTGTCGAGAGAGTACGTGAGGTTCCTTGTCGGGGTGGCGAACGAGAAAATGGAGGCCAACAGGAAGAGGACTGAGGCATTTTTCCAGGCTCTGCAGAGTGAGGGTGGAGGGTTTGTGGGTCCCACCGTTGCTAATGGCGAGATTGCGGCAGATGGACTTTCGGAATCTGGTATGTTTAGTGGTTGGATTTTGAATCTTTGATGTTTTTGAGTTGTCAAGTTATTGGGTTTTTTGTGTTTTTGGATTCTGTGGTGTAGTTTTTTGAAAGTTGCAAGCTTTATTTTTGGTGGGAAATGAAAGTGGATTGCAAATGTGTATTTTGCAGGACACCTTTCGGTTTCATGTGAATGCAAAAGTCTGAATTTTTGAAAAACATTGGCAGGGTCCAAGGAAGTTCCTGGTGGTTGTAGTCTGTCTGTTGTTGAGATGGAAATTGCCGGTGAACCCGAAGAGAATCTTTTCCTCTGGGGTCATTCGTCTTGTGCATTGGAAATCAAAAACCGGAATGGTGTTCTTGTGTTTGGTGGCTTTGGAGGCACGGGAAGACATGGGAGAAGAAGTAGTTCTTGGCTGGTTGATCCATTGTTTGGCACTTTGAGAGCAATTGATGCAGCCAGCACTCCGTCTCCACGGTTGGGTCACACTTCGTCTCTGGTTGGAGATTGTGTGTTTGTCATTGGAGGCAGGGCTGATCCTGAGAAAATTTTGAGTGATGTTTGGGTCCTCAATACGGCAAAGAATGAATGGAAGTTATTGGATTGTTCTGGGGACAAATTTCCTCCCAGGTGACACTTTTAACTGCAGAATCTAATCAAAAGAACATTATTTTTGCTTCTAAAGTATGCACCTAAGTTATCTATATGTGTGTTAAACAGGCATCGGCATGCTGCAGCTGTTGTAGGCTCAAAGATATATGTGTTTGGTGGACTTAACAACGATACCATCAGTTCTTCCTTACATGTTCTCGATACCGATAATCTGCAGTGGAAAGAGTTGATTGTCAGTGGCGAGCATCCATGTGCCAGACATTCTCACTCAATGGTGGCATATAGATCTCAACTTTATATTTTTGGAGGATATAGTGGTGAGAAAACACTTGCAGACTTGTATGTTTATGATATCCAAACATGTAAATGGAAGAATGAAAAGGCAGCTGGGAGAAGTCCACATGCAAGGTTCTCCCACTCAATGTTCGTCTACAAGAATTATCTTGGGGTTGTTGGTGGTTGTCCAGTTAAACAACGTTGCCAGGAGTTAGCACTACTTGATTTGAAGGTCCGTGTGTGGAGGCATGTGAAACTTGAATCCAATGGTGAAGATTTATTTGTGCGTAGCACAGCCAATGTTGTCGGCGACAATCTTATTATGATTGGTGGTGGGGCATCTTGTTATGCATTTGGGACAAAGTTTAGCAAGCCCATGAAAATCAACTTGCTTCCTCTTATGAGTTTAGATGATAATATTAAGCCAGATGACAGAGAAATGCATGCTCAACATTATGAAATGGTGAATAATGAGAAAGGTAGACAATTCCAGGATCCACGGGCTGAAGGTGTGCAGAGCTTAAGTGAACCTTGTGATCTGAATTTTGAGAGTGACTTGCCCATGGAAAATGGCATAAGTCAGCAGGTAGAATCATATTGGATTCTACAACTTGAAAGAAAATATGCAAAAGTAGGCAAGGACATTTTGAAGAAGTTTGGATGGTTAGATCTTGGAAGGAAGGTGTACTCCAGGAAGAGTGGTTCACATATATGTTTTCCTGTGAACGAAAAATTTTCATGCGTGTTTAAAGAAAACAAGCATTCTTTGACAGATTTATCTGAAGGACAGAGTAATCACTTTGTTAAACCAGTTATAGGACAAGAATTCTCGGTTAATGAGGTGAACTGTTCAAAAGCCTTGGACATTCTAAAGGAATGTGGTGCTACTAAGCTGGCAGCTGAAGAAGTTGAAGTCAAGAGAGCTGCCAAATCTTCCGCGAAAGTAATGAATGAAATTGTGGGCTTGCTGATAAAGGAGAAGGACTGCCTGTAGAACTCTTAGAGGAGCTACCTGCAAGGTTTGTGTTTGTGTTTTTGCTTCTGTGCAAGCATGTAAATACATTTTCTTTTTAAACTAAGCTGATTATAGAAGATTTGTTACCTAACACATTTTCAGTTAAAACCTATAGATGAGGGATGCACTAGAATTTACTGGTTAGTAGATTCAATGACCATGTATGATAATGATACTCATATTAAATGTTTTGTCTTTTGTAGATGGGAGCGACTTGGAGATATAGTTGTCCTTCCAGCAACATCGTTCAAGAATCCAATATGGGACTCTCTAGGGATGGAGCTTTGGCATGTTATTTCCAAATCACTTAACGCTCATCGCCTTGCACGCCAAGTAAGTAATGTACCTAAACACTTCGAAGGTTCTTTAGTAGTTATTTGGGTTACTCATGTTCATGAGTAGTTATTTGATCTATGCATTGCTCATGCGACTATTGGTTGTGTATCATGACTTGAATCTGTTTCAACAGGGCCGAGTTGCGTCAACCGCTACAAGGGACAGTACATTGGAGATTCTTGTAGGAGATAATGGATGGGTTGAGCATCGCGAAAATGGCATTCTCTATTCTTTCGATGCTACTAAATGTATGTTCTCTGGGGCAACCTATCTGAGAAGCTCCGCATGGCCTCAATGAATTGCAGAAATGAGATTGTTGTGGATTTGTTTGCTGGAATTGGATATTTTGTTCTGCCATTTCTTGTCAGGTACATCTCTCTGGTTCTAGAAATTTATAGATTTTGTTTCTTGGTCCTCCGAATTGCAGATTTCTTCAAGATTTGTCAAATCTTGAAGTACATAGGACATAGAAATAGTCAGCCTACTGCAGTCTGTTTCAGTCAGCAATACATATTTTATTAGAAGTAGGATAAGAATAAGAAAACATTTATGACATTTATTGGACGACTTAGATGCTTGGATTTAACCCTTGCAATGGTGATTCCATCAATGAATCTTATTGATACATATTCTTGATCATGCGTTTACATAAGCTGCACTTGATTGCTGCTGATGTTGTTTTCTTCCCTTCCAATTGCCTTCATTGATGCTGTTTCTAAGTGAAAATGTTGGTTGACCAGGGCCAACACAAAGCTAGTTTATGCTTGTGAATGGAATCCCCATGCTGTTGAGGCACTCCGGCGAAATGTGCAAACCAATTCAGTTAGTGACCGATGCATTGTTCTTGAAGGAGATAACCGGATAGTGGCACCTAAAGTATGTCCAAAGACTCGCATCATTTGCTTTGCTTACTGATATAAATATCATTTGACTTGTGCATTCACTTTATGTATTGTACTATGCAAGTTAGGCTCTTTGTCAAACGCAAGGCTCTCGTGATGTTGCTATAACTTGATTGTTTTCTCACAGGGAGTGGCTGATCGGGTCTGTCTCGGTCTCATTCCAACAAGTGAAGGTAGCTGGGTCACTGCTGTTAGGGCATTAAGGTGATAAACCCTATAAACCTACTGTTCAAATGCTTTCTGCAAATATTTTCACTTATGAGCATTATAAGAAGCTGAAGCTCTCTCACTCTCTCACTCACACGACAAATCAATGTACACATTTTGATGGCAATTCTGATAATGCAGGAGCGAGGGCGGGATGCTACACGTGCATGGGAACGTCAAGGACTCAGAGGAGGATTCATGGGCTAAACATGTATCAGAATCAATAAGTGAAATTGCCAAATCTGAAGGTATTATCTTCTCAACTCAGAACACATGAATATTCATTGCTGCATTAGGTTGCAGGGTGTAAAACTGTAAATTGTGTGTTGTTTGCAGGTCATTGTTGGGAAGTAAGAGTAGAACATGTCGAGAGAGTGAAATGGTACGCCCCACACATCCGTCATCTTGTTGCAGACGTTAGATGTCGACAGAGTATCCGAACATGGCCAAATTAGTCCTTTGCATTTTTGTCTTGTAAAACCTGTAACGTATAGGCTAGAACAACATCCACATTTCATGGGGCCCACCTGGATTGGCCTGCTTCTTGATATCTGAGTTTTGTTTTGAATTTTTCCTTTTGTTTTTGATGATGAAACTATGTAAAATTATTGTCAATGAAAATTGAATTGCACTTGTATTTCACTGTATTAAACTTAATGGAGAAATTAGTATGTTCGGATAACATGATCGTATGACTGTCCGGCCTAAGACACGCACTCTCACCCCATGAATAGTGTTTTTGGCCGGATGGCCACACAATCCTGCCATTCCATTTACTTCTTGTTTCGTGTTTCTAAATTTCATTTGATGGAAAAATTAGTAGGACCGAATGACGTGATCGCATGGTTGTCCACCCTAACAAAAAGCATCCTTGCCGCTTATTTTTCGATCCCTCAGTCTCACCCTTAGAATAGTGTCTTAAGCCGGACGGCCACAAGGTCATGTCATTCCATCTACTTTTCATTTCTAAATTTCGGCTAAGCCCATCCATACTCCCATTAATTTAGATAATATCGTTTGTTTAAAAAAAAATATCGATTGAACTTAAAATTGGAAAGCCAGCTGATTTGTGTATAGTATAAGGAAGCTCACCTGTAAATGGCGAATATAGGGCATCATGTTGTAATACTTGAAAACTCTTAAAAAAAAAAAAAAAAAAAAAAAGGCAATTCAGTTGTCTCCTATTCAATTTCAAGCGTTTAAATTCAACTTTGAAATCAAACTCGAAAAGTGTTGTGTAAATTGGGCTGGATTGGTATTGATGTGCTTTGCAAAAAAAAAAACTGCTTCTGTTGTGTTGTGAGAATAAGTTCATTTTTGCTGCTTCATGTTTTCAACTTTTTTTCACTAAAAACTATGAAAATAAGATGTTTTTAAGTGTTTACCAACTACCTTTTTGAGCTTAACTTTTTTTTATACCTACTTTTTATAAAAACATCTCAGTACCAAACCAGTGCGTACTTGATTTGTGAATTTCGTACATGATTCCTTCCTATAAAATATAGAATAAAGAATACACAGTGGTGGATAAAATGCTCCTTGCGGATCTCTATATATTTGGTCAGAGTCAATACTCAGTAGTTAGGATTCTTTATGTTATTAATAAACAAGTGATTGATTATCTTTAATCATTCTAACAACTAGATCTATACGTAATTAAGATAGATAATTAATCTATGTGGCCGTGTGCCATTTTTGGGGCTCCACCGATCATCTTTAGTGCATGTATTATTAATGACACGAATGCTGTTCATTGAGAGTGAAAGTGAAAGTGTCGGTGGCCTTGTCACTGTTCAGCAGACTTAATTAGGTTTCCTTGATTTAGGTATCACGCAATTTTATTTAATTCAATTTGCATTTTAGCGTTATATTTTAATGATATTTTTCTTTTAGATTCGACTTATAAAAATAAATAACTAGTTGGATACTTAATCAAGGTGTGATCTCGTCATGCTATGCTGATGTATAATAGAAACTTTTCGTACATCAAGTTTAAGATAATTTAATAAGACACGAGCTTGTGAACTTCCTCAAAGAAATTAAAAACTGAATATCGCTATTCGAAATTATCGTTTCCTCTAATAGTTTCTTCTTTCGTTTGTGTTGTGGTGAAATTGGAAGGTCACTTTCTTGTACAAGTTTGCTTACAAGGATTGCATTATCATTCTATAATCTCAATCTCAAATCATTCAAACCTAAACTATAAAGTTTTATTATTAATTTCGATATGAATAATTTGATTTCAAAGTTCTTTTCTTTTTCCAAAAGATAATGCTAGACTTCTTTTTCCCTTTTCTTTTCTTCCTATGAGGAGGCATGCAATCATCATAGTTTTTGTGATGATGCCATTGCTTTTCCGCATTGCATTTGGCTTCAACGGCATCGAGGAACGCATTATTGTAAGTATTTTTACAGCAATTATATATAATACAAGTTGGATAAAAGAAATAGAAGAGTGCATGAGTGTGTTGTGCTATCCACGTATGCTACTAAATTTTGAGGGAAAATTTTATAGGACAATAAGGCAACAATGCTTTATAGCATGGAATGTTGGACGGTCAAAAAGCAACACATGTCTAAAAAAATGAGTGTTGCAGAAATGAGAACGTTCCAATGGATTTGTGGGCACATGAGAAATGATAGGATTAAGAACGAAGATATCCGACGTAAAGTAGAAGTAACCGCAATTGAAGATAAAATGAAAGAAAATGGGTTAGGGTGGTTTGGACATTGAACTATAGATCTACTAGATACTCTGGTTAGAATAAGCGAGTATGAGACAGAGACTCAAGTCAAAGGAGTTGGAGGAAAATCTAGAAAGACTTGGAAAGAAACTTTAAGAAAATATACTAAGTACTTGTAGCTAACAGAAAACTTAATGCAAATAATGTAGTGGAATTCTAAAATTCATATAACTGACCTTACTTAGTAGAATAAAATTTTAGTTTTGATTGTTCCGATGGAGCTATTTTGTGAACGGATAGATTACCGCATACAGATTCAATATTTTACTAAAACATTGCATCAGTCCAATCGGTGCATTGTAAAATTTTTGAAGGCCAAATTTCAGCAGAAAATGTGAGTATTAAAGTTTGAGCCGGTGGTAGTTTAATTAGAGCGGTAAATGCTGCGGTGAATCCAAGGCTGAAAAAGGTCAAAAGCACTGCATGTAACATAACCCTTAGTCGCAACAAGTGTCATATTTTAATACCATTTTTCTCCATATCTCCTTTTATTTAAAGATCCTCTCAGCTCAGTGGACTTCACTGATATCACCACCAGCAGAAGCAGAAGTAGAAAGCCATGGCTTCTTCTTCTTCTTCCAGAGCTCTCTTGTTCTTCTTTGCTTTGCTTTCTCTCTCAGCAGTTTCTTGCTTTGCTGCTGAGAGAAATGAGGAGGACCCAGGCCTTGTCATGGACTTCTATAGGGACACATGTCCTCAGGCTGAAGAGGTCATCAGAGAACAAGTCAAGCTTCTCTACAAGCGCCACAAGAACACCGCCTTCTCTTGGCTCAGGAACATATTTCATGACTGTGCTGTCCAGGTATATTCATTCATACGACTCACTTTTTCTCATAAAGATTTTTCGATAAACTTACCCACACTGGAAATGTCATTATGTCGATCAAGCCCTCTCACACACTATCGTGCGTTTTATGACTCGTTTTTTACTGTTTTTGTAGAAAACGCTTATGCTTAAAAGTGCTTCTACTAGAAGTGCTTTTATTGTAAACATGACAAACGTAATCATAACCGTTTTTAGCTAATCAGAAAGAACTTTTAGCCAATTTTTGAGATACCTTCACAATAACCTTATAATTTCTTGCAGTCATGTGATGCATCTCTGCTGCTGGACTCAACAAGGAGATCATTGTCTGAGAAGGAGATGGACAGAAGCTTTGGGATGAGAAACTTTAGGTACATTGAAGAGATTAAAGAAGCTTTGGAGAGAGAGTGCCCTGGTGTTGTTTCCTGCTCAGATATTCTCGTCTTGTCTGCCAGAGAGGGTGTTGTTAGGGTATATTTTCTCTTCATCTAATTTAGTAATTTCCCTTTTTAATATATCGGTAAAAATTAAGATGAATTAGTATAGATTTATTTACTTTTTTTTTTTTTACCTTTTTAATGTGGTTTTGGTATATTTTTAAAGTAAATTATTTCTCTAAACCGTGTTTTGAACTTAATTACTGTGTTCTCAGCTTGGAGGCCCATTCATTCCTCTTAAAACTGGAAGAAGAGATGGAAGGAGAAGCAGAGCTGAAATCCTTGAGCAATACCTTCCTGACCACAATGAGAGCATGTCCGTTGTCCTTGAGAAGTTTGCTGACATGGGCATTGACACCCCCGGTTTGGTCGCCCTTCTAGGTATATATGCTCTAGAAGCTGCTTTTACTAGAGGCACGTTTAAAGGTTAAAATAAAAATATAAGTGCTATTTCGAGAACAAGCGTCAAGGACACACTTCTAAGTGTTATTTCAGCCCCAAAACACTTCTAGGCCTTGTTTGAGATTTGCTTTTTTGGAAAACGCTTCTGCTAGAAGTGCTTCTATGTGATAAAAAGAACTTTTCAAAGAAACATATAAGTCGTAAGTGATTTTGTTGTCGTAAAACACTTTTAACTCTTTCAAATACAATTTTGCTTCTCTAGGAATTTGTTATATCAAACGCTGTCAGAAACACTAATTTGGTCGTATTTGTTGGAACCAATTACAGGAGCTCACAGTGTTGGAAGAACACATTGTGTGAAGCTGGTGCACCGGTTGTACCCAGAAGTTGACCCTCAGCTCAACCCTGACCATGTCCCTCACATGCTCAAGAAGTGCCCTGATGCAATCCCCGACCCCAAAGCCGTTCAATACGTGAGAAATGACCGTGGTACCCCCATGATCTTCGATAATAACTACTACAGAAACATCTTGGACAACAAGGGTTTGATGATGGTGGATCACCAGCTAGCCACAGACAAGAGGACAAAACCCTACGTCAAGAAAATGGCCAAGAGCCAAGACTACTTCTTCAAGGAGTTTTCGAGAGCCTTCACCATTCTCTCCGAGAACAACCCTCTCACCGGAAACAAGGGCGAGATCCGACAGCAGTGCAATGTTGCCAATAAAATCCGGGACTAGAGCAAAAAGCAGCTTTGTCAGGAAGCACTTTTCTTCTTTAGTTATGTAATTAGTGGAGAAAATGTGTGTGGGACAAGTTGTTGGATAATAAAAGGGGTTTTTATTTTTATAACCAATATGTTTGTTTTGTTTTTATGGAAGTTGGTCAGTGCTAGGGTTAAAAGGCATGCATGTGGTCAGTCGTTCAAGTGGCCCTTGTTCATGATGCACTGTGTCTGATTTAGGGTTTCGATTTTATCTTTTGGCTTCTTCTCTTTGGGTGAGATGGGCATGGTGGATATGTCGGGTTGTGTGTATGTATGGATGGATGGTTTGAACCTTGAACATGTATGCTGATTTGTGGATTTCAACGATGATGGTTATGTATGATATATGCTTGCATATCATCCCGATGTTGTGCAACTAGTTATAGTTATAAGAACCGAGACGGCTGCCTGGTGTGTAGTTATGCTTGACTAGTGTTTTATTGTCTATAAGTGATAGATTGCCTTAGTGATTACCGCGTTTTTCTTCAACTCCTTACATGATTCACAGGTTTAATCCTCTTCTTATCAGATTGTAGTTAATCTTCTCCTTGTTATAAATTATAAAAAAAAAAGCTCTTACCAAGTAGTGGTGGATTATAAGTAGTCAATGATATGTCAATGCATAAAGTAACTAAAGCTAAAGTGGAAACTAAAGAGAAAGAAAGGATATGATTCTGATTAATACATAATTAAGCGGATAAATGCACTAATTAAGTACCGGTTGGTAAGTTGGGCACTCAGATAGTAAAGAGAATAAAGAAATGAACTTTAGAAGCAATAATTAATTAAACCATTAGAGGAAGGTTCCAAAAGCTTTCCATAATTGATATTAAATAATTAGAAAATGCCAAGACAAGCAAATTAAGAGAGAAAAAGGAAGGAATAGCATAAGAAAAGCTCACATGGCCACACATGGCATTGGATCCAATGTCTTTAGATGTGAATCCTAGAGAGAGATTGTTACACATGTCATAAGCTAAGGTGGTTCTCTTAGATGAGAAAAACTTGGGGATATGGATGTGGAGTTGAGTCCATATAACACGTTATTTAGGAGCACATTTTACAAAAGCATGAGACTCTCATGTATTTTAGTCTCACTTAACTCTATAATTTATACACATGTCTCACATGTCGTGTCCTAATAAGTAAATTTACCGAAGTTTCTTGCGTTTTCATATAGTTCATTATTACTTTGTGCACTATTGCTTGAGAAATTTTCAGTATGTTGGGAAATAGCTCGGTTTGATGAAATTTTTTTTTCAAGTTTCCAACAAATTGTATTATTACACTTGGTGTACCGGAAATTTCCAACAAATTATATTATTACATTTAGTATGTACCGAGCCATATTTCTAACACACTGAAAAATCTCCCCTATTGCTCATCCACATTTGCTACTCCTATCAAGTTAATTGTATATCTAGCTAATGAAGACATTAAACTTAAGATTGTCAAATGGTTACCCATTGGACCTAAATAAGGCCCATTTGGCTTGGTTGTGAGTTTTGGTGTCAATTCGTGCACGGCTACGCCCATGAGCCTAATTTGGACCCGTGGCCGACGAAAAATGCCCCGATCAATTAGCTGTTAAGGTTTCTTCTTCCCGAGTGAGAAAATCCAGGACTCTTGCTATGGATTCGGGTCTCGGAAAATGGCGGGACGCTTGCCTGCACTGCGGCAAATGAGGACACGTCAGCCAGAGTTTCAGGCTCAAGAAGCACACCGTTGGGCCGCCAACACCATCGAAGTGATCAACGAAGCATTGTTTTTGACCGTCGATTCCTCGCTGGAGTCGGGGATCACCACCCCCGGCGTCGCCTTCCACTGCTCGCCGCACCAGGGAATCATAGAGAAGTACACCGCCGGAAACTAAGGAAAGGTGTACCTGGCCATGCCGCATTGGACATTGTTGGGAGAGGTGACGTGCGTGTCAAGTTACTGAGTGGGCTCCGTGGATACTGCACAATGTGATGCACGTCCCGGGTTTGAAGCGGAATTTGATTTCGGTAAGTCAGCTGACTAAGGAGGGCTACCAGGTTGCGATAGGGTCCGAGGGCATCGTGGTTATGAATTGACATGTAATTGTGCAAATGAAACCTTTTGAGTTGAAAATGTTATAGTTACTGGGTGGAAATGCACTGATTAGTTCATGCAGATTTGAAATTTTGTTCAAATATTTGTGATTTCCCAAGTGAAAGAGAAAGATATCTGACTTCGATCAGCATGCCTCGAAGAAGGATTGTGAGAATCTTGATGATACTTGGGTAATCGCAGAGTATTGGTTCATGGTTGCAGGGCAGGCTAATGAGGCAGCGCTGTCACTTAGAACTTGCTGCCTTATAAGCCTGTCCTGCATAAAATCTTGGTGCTTGGTTGTTCTGTTCTGGATGTTCGGAGTTAAAATGATGACAAGATCTGCCATGAAAACCGAAAAGAGGCTCATTTTCTTACATTGAGATAGTGGAATTGATAAAAGCCTTTATTAAGAATAAGGTAAGTTATGATAATTACAAGGAAGACGGATATTCTAATTCTTCTTTGTTTCAATACTGCTTGAACTGCAATCGTAGCCACTATCAGCTTCCTCCGAGGCCATGCCATTTTTTCCTGCTGCTTCCACGATTTTGGGGTTCAAAGGACCGCAAGGTGGATGGTTGAAATAGGGCTGTGGATGAATGAAGTAGTTTCCAGTAGAAGGGAAAGACCGGTAGCCATATGTAGATGGATAGGGTCCGGGAGAAAATGTGTTTGGGGGAGGCCAATATACCATAGGCACAAAGGTGTTAGCTGGTTGTGGGGGAAAAATTTGACATGGTGTTAGACTAGAGCAGGAGATATTCGTACCAGCATTCGCAATTGCAGCGTTTGAGATTGGTTGAGCATCTAATGGCGTATGAGACAATAATGTTGCCATTGCTTGAGTGTGAAGAATAGAAATCTGATGACCTACCAGTCCAAATTGTGTAGAAGGTGCAGAGCTCAAAAGTGTAGTCCGTGTTAATGGAGATATCTGCATATTGCGAGGCTTGCTATTCGAGTGAGGTTGTTTTTTCACCTTTGTTTTTGTTGAACAAGATTTTCCACTGAACTGATGAGAACTTGGACCGGCCTGCTGAGAGAAAACAAGATCAGTATTCAGAAACTCGAATTTTTATTTGTCAATGTTAAATCGAAACTAGGAAGTGTTCAGGTATATGAACTGGGAAGTTAAATCGAAACTAGGATGTGCTCAGATATATGAACTGGGAACTTGATCTTACAGTATCACTAGTCATAGGATGTGGAAGAAATAATTCCTCCCCTTCAGCATCCTCATCCGTCCTACAAGGAAAAACACGTCGTGCTTCAATTATATTAGAGATTACATTAAGGTGCAAAACTATCCGAATAGCTTTTTTTTCAGAAACATTCATTTCCTACTAGTATATTAGATTGAAATACCTATAATATTTCTGAAGCAAGTCTAAGTTCTGGTATTTAGTTTCTCGTTGAACAAGATCATCAGGAAAACCAGCCATGAAAAGAAGAGTGATGCCCAAGGCCTTGAAGAAGAAGTTCCCACCGCGAACATGAACTAGCATTGCCATTCGACACATTAGTGGCCCAAAAGACTTCAGCTTCTTTCTTCCCATACGCTGCCTTACATATCTGAAACACATTTATGCAGATAGAATTTTAAATTAAGCTGCAAACCTCGGTAAATTAAAAGTTAATTACTCCAATAATACTTACTCATTTTGGGGAAGATTTCGTGTTCTTCCGCCATACTTTATGCAGAGAAATAGCCATGATGGGCAGCTAGAATCCGATGGTCGCATGGCCTTCTCTTCTTCGAGTATTTTAACAGGACATAATGTCGGATTCTGTTGATTCGGGTAAAATACCTTCCTCCGAACACCAGGATTCTCATACAGAACATGCTCCTGGTAAGGAACAAAAATTAAATTGCTTTTTTGCTGATGAACGAAGAAACATTAAGATGGACAACTTATTTAAATGCAAAACTTATCACAATATTAACTTCCTTACCCCGGGATCTTTCGTAGACATGTATGGCTCTCCCTTCCTTAAAATGCTAAAATGATTGAAGTCTAATTCGTAGATATCTTCGCAACCATGCCTTATTCCAATTGATGCAAAAACTATGATCTTTCTTATTGTATGGGATTGAGCATTTTTCTGCAGCAGGGCTTCTGAATCAATTATTCTCTTCACTTCTTTCGGGCAGAATGCCACCTTCGGAGGTTTTTTCTGTTGCGATGTGCTTGCAGATCCTGCACGAATAAACTCCTTGAAATTGAGGGTATCAGATGGCACCTTGCAACTTCCAAAATCACTAGGTTCTTTCTTGTTTTGGGTTCGAAGTTGCATCTCATCACAAACTGGTCCTGTATCAGGTGGTTCATTCGTTTTTTGGTTTGCATTTGAAATCACTGGCTCGATCCCACCTGCGAAAACGTTTTCACATTGCGCGTCCAATCCCTTATCAACAACTTCACATTTCAGCTCACTACAAATTCTCGAAACATTATCAGCCACTTCCCCTTCTTTACAGTCATTATTTACACAATCCTCTTCACGGTAATCATCATCTTCATCATCGCTATCATCAGAGTCATTGCAGTCAGCTGAATCGCCGCCATCTCCTTTTTCTAGATGCAAAAACTGAGTTTCCTCCATGCTCATCCAGTTAACTAGACGGTCAAGAGCCAAGCATTGCGTGTGATGCTTCTTCTTCGAAGCCATTTCGGTTGGGATAACATTTCCATCTTCGATTCCATTGCTATCTAGTTCTGTCTTCTGTCGCTTGAACTTCTTGAAGCTTCTTATCATTGCATTCAAAGAACTTCCCTGAAGTCAAATGTTAAGAGGTTGGCATAAACATGATCATTCAAAACCAGAAGTGCTTTTAGTTGTCGAAAAAAGTGCTTTTAGCCGTTTTCAGAGCGGTCTCAAACATCGCTACAACGCTATTCGTTGAAAAGCAAAGAAACTACCAAAAAAGTAAAGGTCTTACTTGTCCTATCTGCTGGATGAGGAGGCTGCTTAGCCTCTCGTTCTTGTAATTGAGCTTCAAGAAATAGTATCCTCTCCATGAGCTCTGCATTCTTCTTTCGCTCCCTCTCGAGTTCGGCCGAAATCTCATCAACGACAACATTGACACTCTCTCCTCTCGTCCCTTCCTCTATAACGCACAGTGCAGAAGAATTGACCAGAGGAGCACAAGAGTGAAGCTCCATCATTGATTAGGACGAACACCAATATGATGAAAACTGTAATAATCTTTGAACACCAGTAAGAATATCATATGAAATGGAAAATACCATCTAAAGAATTCTCAGAGAAAATGCATCCTGCCGGAAGAAAATCTTGAGATAAAGTTTAACATATTTAAGCAAGATTAGGGCTATTTTTGTGCTTGGCTTTTGTTTCAGTTTTCTAAATTGGAAAAGTAGAGCGGCGACCGGCGAGGGGGCAGACATGCAACTGCACGTGCACATCTTTCTCTCTCTCGTTGGACTTCAGTATTGAAGCGATTCTCGCACATCCTTTTTTTTTTTTTCACATACTTCTCTTCATGTAGGGTTTAGACCGAATAAATCAAAGAAAAACCAAATAACATAAACAAGCACATATACAAAAGAAAAGAGCAGTGTGGAGATCGTTTTTCTTTGCCAAAATGATTATCGTGTGATGTTACTGCATGATTGGGAATATAATATTCGGCATATTTATCTTGAGATAAATTTTGTTGCTGATGAGTTGGCTGAGCTTCTCTCATGCTTTATGTTCAATCTATTTTGAGCAAACTCCATCTTCTTGTAAGCAGTTATTATTATCTGATATTTTTGAAGTCTCTCGACCTCGTAGTATTATTTTTTAATTTCTCTTATGTCATGCCATTAGCCCCTTTGTTAAACAAATTTAAAAAAAAAAAAAAAAAACAGTTTATGTTCTTATGGGAAAGTTTACATTTTTGGAAATTGCTTGATGCCAATCCATAAATTTTCATTAATAAGAATCCAACAAGGCCTCACCTTTTGTTTATTTAGTATTTTTTTTTTTTTTTTAAAGAGCTTTGAGTCTCACAATTTGGTGACAATTCACAGTTGTGAATTAATATTAATTAATAAAAAATTGTATTAACATATAAAACAGTTGTGAATTAATTAATCAGCAATGCAGGATTAGAGAGCATCCTATGCACCTTTCCTATATTATATTACCATATAAAAAATAATAAATAGTTTGTAGACTATGTTAATGATACTCTTAAGCTAAATCCGAACGAATTCTACAAGCGTACATAAGGATGGAAATCGAGCTGTATCGTGTTGTGTTCTTGTATCATTTCGTGTTAGCGTGGAGTACTAATTAATCCTAATCCAAACCGGAGCAGGTTTATCTTCGTGTTTAAGTTAATCATTTCTATAATTTTGTAGTTAATGAAAATTAGCAATCAACGGAGTGGTGATTTGAGGTTATATATATATATATATACATATATATATATAGAGAGAGTAAGTGGGCAGCACCATAGAATATTACAACCTCACGTGGGAATGCTTTGTCTCTTGAAAATGCAATTTGTGTCAGGGAATATGAAGGCTAAAAACCTTGGATACCATCCTTCTAATTTTAAACAAAAATCCTGTCATTCGATTTGGGCACCTTCGTTTGCTCTTTCCTAATTTAGTGTTCATGTAACAAGAAGTTTGTAACTATTGAAAGAGTTTATTACAACATTCGAAGTTCTGCGTTCAGTTTGCCTCTCATAATATCACTTGTATAAAAAACTCTAGTGTTACAGATAATCCCATGAAAATGTCGCTTTGGTGCTAAAGGAGCAAAAGAGTAAGTAATTCAAATGAGTAAGAGCATTTATTATTGTATCAGAGGTCCTAAATTTGGAAGAATTATACGTTTTTGTGAGATATACCCTACAAACACGAGATGTATGTGATAGAAACATGTGGGCGCCCAAAATAGTAGCTATAAATAAAGAAATGTTTCTTCAGGGTTTGTATGGAAACTGTGCTGCAGTGCTGGAGAGGGGAAGGGAAAGTCCTACAATAATGGGTACACACCTCTCTTGATTACTGCCTTTTTAATTTTCAAGTAAATAGTACATTCTAATAAGAAATCCTGGGATTGAAGGGTGTCTGTCAAGTGGGTGTCCTTCCGAAGGACTCCTTCGTATATATACTTTGTTTTTTTTTTCTCGTAAAGTGTGCAAAAAAAAATAGAAGGATTAATTGAAGTTTAAGAATTGAGATACTTGGTTAACTACTATCATAGCCGTCGTACCAGTGAACTTGTAAATGTTGAGACTAAACTTGTTAAATTGGACATCGGTCTAACATGTTGGGTCTTAAGTCTCATCTCGAAGAGTGAGACTTAATAAAATTGCTTGGACCCAACTTCAATCATATTCGATCCCAGTCACCAAACGGATTGAGCACTTATCTGAAGCTAGATAGATTCTATCATTCTAGTGTGCGCTCGATTTAAGGCTTGTGGGTTACTGACCGTAACACAACTCCTCATGGAAGAAATCACAGTGAAAGAAGAACATATCAAGAAAAGAGAGGTTGAGTTGAGTTGGATGCAAAATTGATATCAATATAGCATACAGAGCAAAATTCCTATCATCGGCAGTACTTTTGTTCAGCATTTATTTCACAACGAAATATTTTTAAATTAATTAAAATCGAAGTATACTCAGGAAAAGGTTCATAACAAGATTGAACAGGAACTTCAAAAAAAAAAAAAAAAAAGATAACAAGTAAATAGATGCACAGAAACACAGCCTAATTAATCAAACACCAAACTCTAGCTTCACATGCTCAAACTGCCCGTTTCCGATCAAGATTAGTCTAGTTTACTTCATACCTCCCGGAAATAATGCTCTGATATGAGCACACGAGTCATACGATCCAACTGTTAAACTCACTTAAGCAGCTCAAATCCATAACGATTCACTTGTGCTTGTAAGTTCTGAAATGCCTGTTAGTGGAATTAAAAGAGCATTGCTGGTTGTTGAGTCCCACTTCTCATCATTGCACAGAATTCCGAATAGTTGATCTTCCCATCCTATTTGGTTCAAAGTAAATCAGTACAAAACACGACTGAGAAAAAGTTGCAGATATTTGAAAGTCGTGAGTAAACTTACATTATCGGCATCAACCTCAGAAATTATTTCTCTGATGGTGTTGTCGTCACCCATTCCATGCTCCTTCATAGCAGCCTCTAATTCGTCTCTTGTAATGTACCTGTTAGTGGAAATTGACAAAGGAACTTCATTAACATTTACTTTATGACTGAATGATAAAAAGAAAGAAACAGTTGCTTTCCTTGCAAATTATGATATTACAAGCTAATAAATATAGTAATTCGTAACTAATTATGGCTGACAAAGTTCACAAGTATTGAGACTAAATTTATGAATCAATACGCGGAAAGTTGTTTGAGCACACATCTAGCAAGATCATAACGAGAAATTTATCCAAAGTTATTTATTTCCCCCAGTAGGATCAAGTAGTTGAATTTCACTTGATCAAAAACAGAAATCCAGTACGACATATGTATACAGAAGCATTGCACAAAATTTGTCAACTCACCCACTGCTATCCTTGTCAAAATACTGGAACGCTTTGTAGAGATGCTCATCTCTTTCTAATCTTTGTCTATGCATAGTCGCAGATATAAATTCTATGTAATCAATAGATCCATTTCCATCCACATCAGCCTGAAATGTGTTCCACGGAAATCAAAAAAATAGCCAGAAGCAACATAATTGAGTTCCTGGGGAATTGATAGTCACTTACAGCGTCCATGAGTTGCCTAACTTCGGTTTCAGACAGCCGCGACCCAATACGCGCTAAACCTGTCTTCAGTTCTTCGTAAGTTATTGTGCCACTGTTGTCAGTGTCCATATTGGCGAACATTGTTTTAAGGCCTTTAATTTCTTCTTCAGATAGATTCTCTGCTATGACCTGGGGGAAATTTTCAAAATGTACAAAAATTATTAAGGGAAAAAGACAAATATGGTAAGAAGAAATTCTCGGGAAACTTTGCCAATATTGGGTAAAGATAGGAGCTTCGGAACATAGTCCCAAAATTACCTTCAAGGCAAGTTGCTTGAGCTTATTCATTGCCCTGAATTGCTTCATTCTAGAGAGTACTGCACTATCTATTGGCTTGTCTGATGCTACTCCGCCTACTCTGAGCCACGGGTGCTCTGAGCACACAGAATATTAAATATCAGTCAAAAGCACACGCATAAAACAAGAGCTGGTGGTAACAAGGGCCGTGTGGCTAAAAGTTGGTTATTGTAATGCTGTATATTTATCCTTTCAGCTTCTATTTAACTGCTAAATTTGGCTCGTTGATTTGGAAGCAACAGATTACTACATGGGGCAAAAAACTAAACATAGGATTATCCCTTGAACGCCAGCACAAGGCATAATTCTATCATGTCATTTCATAGGCAAATGAAAAAGATGTCGTTTCAAAAGAGATTATAACAAAGAAACATTTGAGGAGAATGGTCCATAAATCATACAAATGGAAATAATCGACGGAAATTATATCTTATACAGCATGTGTTGCTTCATTGTAACTTTCAATCCATCCAAAATAGTATTTGAGAGGTAACATACCGAGAACTTCTGCAGAAGTAATTCTCTTTGTTGGGTCCTGTGTCAGCATCTTTCTAATCAAATCTTTAGCACTGTCTGATATTGATGGCCATGGTTGACTATCAAAGTCTATTACTCCTTCCAATATGGCATCGAATATGCCCCTCTCAGTTTCTGCAATATAAAGAGCGAGATATAATGATAAGATAACTACAACCTAAGAGAACAGTGAATGTTTAGCAAGAATACACTGAATTCATATTTACCAGCCCAAAATGGAGGTACACCACTGAGTAGGATATACAGAATAACCCCTGCACTCCAAATATCTATTTCCTTTCCATAACTACGCCGCAAGACTTCAGGGGCAACATAGTAAGCACTGCCGACTATATCACGGTACACCTTTCCTGAGATGAGGACAAAGCAGTTATCGCTACACATTAGAATGTATCCACTAGATTAAAAGTTCAGATTATATATACTTTAACTGAAGCAATAAAATGAAAATGAATTTTTTTGGAAAGCTTTACAAAGGAATAAAGTAGTTTATAAACATCATAATTCGATTAGCTACACTGCATAAGGTAGGAAATGGC